GATTCGTCTATTTTTTCCCAGGCCTGGAGTTTGTCTCTTGAGGATTATTTTTTTTAACAACCAAAATGCTCAACCTCCAAGTTCTTTAACACTTTCTCTGGTTTGACTTTTAATAAAACCACTGTTTTGCCTTCTGCCATTTATTAACTTTGCAGAAATTTTCTAATACGAGTAGGTTTTTAACTTGATTAACCCCTTTTCTAATCCAGAATTGTGTCAGTAAGACCTTTCTGGAACCAAGTGCTGTTTTCCAAGCATCCCTTTTACGTGGTGATTTCCACTGATGGGTTTTTCTCTAGAGCTCTGCATAGATTCCTCTAAGTGAGTACAGGCAATTTACAGATGTTGGCTATTGACTTGTTGTATTGGGAAGCTTTCAGCAGATGGATAAAGCGTCTGATAAATAAAACACTAATACTGAAATACATTTCTTTTCACAAAAAAATGGTATTTTAACTATTGCGATGTTATGGTCTGATGAGACGAGGCCTCCTTGCTTTCAGGATGTCATGGTCCTTGATGCTTCAGTTATCTGAGTCAGACCAGAGGAGGCTTACCCAGACAGTGGGTTTTCTTTGATTTTTTTTTTTTTTTTTTTAAATAGTTTCACAGAAGCATCGCCCGACAGAGATTGTGCCCGGAATTCAAACTATGCCCCAGCCCAGCCTGAACACATTCAAAGTCAAGCCCTGTTTTTTCTGCTCAGATTTGTCTCACGTTGGCATCGCTTCCCCTCAGAGCTCTGCACAAGGATTTCTCCCTCTTTAGGGTTATGTTAGAGCTTTGGAAAGTGTAAAGTCTGGTCTGGTGGTAAATAAATGCTACGATCTTGACATAACTCTTGGGAAGAATTCACTTCTCACCTTCCTCGGTGATGCTGTGCTGTCATCGCTTCTATTGACTTTTATTGCTTTGCACAGCTTCAGCTATAGTTTAAACAGGATCTTGGGTGTGTATTGTGTAACTGCAGCATTTTTTTTTTAATGGAAAAATGACATAACTTGAATATTTTTTTTTTCAGTCTTAAGTATGCATAGGGCAAGAATGGAGAATGTGACCATACTTGGCAAATGCTATGGATCGTTTGGAACCTTACGTATAAACCCTGTTTATTGGGGAATGCCATCTCAAACCAAACTGTTATTTTGTATTATGTGTTTATTTTAGCTGTTTTGTTAGGAGTTCCATGTTACAGTGCAAGAGAAACCTGTGTTGATGCTGCTGTAGAGTCTGTTATATTAGATTGTGCCAGCAAATGAATCAGTGTTATGGAAACAAGAATCAGACATGTAAGGACTAGTTTTCTAGCCATTTCTTTTCAGGAAATTTGCCTGCTACTTTTGGTTAATTTGTTTCCTAACTCACTATTTTTAGAAATCTCATACAAATTAGACCTATTTAACTCAAAAAAACCCACCCAAACCAAAAACCTGTTGCTAACTTGATTTTTCCAGTGGCCTCGGAAGCCCCTGTTTTACCTAAATCCATAACAAATCTTGTGGTTTTACTTGCCTACCCTGAGAGCAGCCTCAGGCCACATTCCATGACTCAGACGGGATGCTGAGGATTTCTTATGTTATTCTTTTTCTTAAATATTATTTCAGAATTGTGGTTAGTGTAGATGTACTGGGGAGGAGGGAGAATCTGTTTTTTTGCAACTAGCTACTATGTCTTAATTCCAAAATCAGTCCCTAGTGTAAGTAGGCTCCTAATAAAGCAGGAGTGGAGCTCTGTGAGCCTGATTCCAACTTTCTGGTGAGCACCTTCCTAGTTTACAGTGGTGTAAGCTGGGTCAGCATTAGTCCCAAAATGTGTGAAGATGTAACTGATGTGGCCTAAAGACAAAAGGTTGTTCATTAATTAAATGCCTTCATGTTTGGCTATCACAAGTCACGTCGTTCAGTTTTAAAAACAAAACAAAAACAAAGAACAAAAAAAAGACTGAAAGAAACACAAAAAGCCCACCCCCAAAAACCCCGCTGTGTCTTAATTACTCATCAGTTGTTGTAGATCCTGATTTTGAAATGCCAATAAAAGGTTCAAAGAATGTGGCCTTAAATTCTTTTTCCATCCCACATGGACAGTTAAGCCATATTGAAAAGACTGCGTAAGTATTGCTGGTTACAGTGCAGATTAGCAGGACAGACATGAAGGCAGCACTGAGTGTTTTATTGCTTATTTGGCCTAAGAAGGCACAAACATTGATTGTTATCCGGTTATTGTAATCCGCGTATTTTCTTAGAAGTTAAGAACTGCCCCTAAAACAGGAGGAGGACTCTTCTGAACAATATGTAACTGTTCTGTTAAACTAAATCCTAGGCTTTTTATTATCAATGTGTTTATGCTAGGGCCAGGAACTCGATTTACTTTTCACCCCATTTTCAGAGGCTGATTGCAGAAACAACTCCAAATGTTTCTCCACAAGGTATGGTGGAGTTCATAGGTTGTTTGAAATAATTCCCTTGTATCACTTCTCTACCAGCTACGTAGTTACCATGAGGAAGGACTTCAGTGTCTCTTTTGTGGCTGTTTTACTGTGCTGTGACTTTTTTCATTAAGGCACTGTCTCTTCACTTTAAATGTGCTTTTGTAGGTGATGAAAAATCCTTGTTTTGTTGCATTTTGTGTGAACTTCTCTTTGCCTGGTTATTTGTTTACTTACTGTAATGTAGGATGAAGCGAGTATTTTGCGATACGTTTGGAGATAATTGGCTTGGCAGATGCTGGCTCCAGTTTGAAGTAGATGTCTATTTTAGAACCGTATCTCTGCCAAATTAACTCTCTGGAGTCTGGTGTAAGTTACCTTGTTTAGACGGGACACTCAAATGGTGTGTGTCCGTTTGAATCAGCTGCTGTTTCAGCAAAACAAAATATCTTGTACAAATGACAATTCAGCTTTTCGGTTTCCCAGCTTTGTTGTAATAAGTTGCCTCAGTCACAAGTTGTTCTGTGTTAGACTGCTGTTACTTTTAAAAATAAATGTATCAACCCATCCCAAAATCGGTTTGGTTTAAATACAGTGAGAGTCCAGATAATTTCCGCTCTCTCCTTTACTTCCTCTTCCTACTCTTTTTTGCTCTGGAAAGAGGTTTTTCCTCACTGTGCTGAGTTAGAGTTGAAGATTGAAGGTAATTGACAGTCCTCCAACTGCCAGAAAATTGGAAACCTTCAAAATGAAAGCATCCGATGAACATAATTCCAGCAGTGGGACAAAGAAAACTGAGGACTGGAATGAAGATTTTTATTTAACTTTTACTTCCTTTACATTTTACAGCAAACGGTTGTACAATCTACAAATACTAAAAATCAAGTAAAATCTTCTTATCTACTTAGGAAAGAAATTTAACTGGTCTTTTTGTTCATGAACAGCTCATAAAAGCAGAGAACAAACTGTAAAGATACATCTAACGCTATTTATAAACTTTATAACATCTTTAAAAGAACTTGGAACAACATTTTACCATGGAGTTTTTCAAATGTGTAGTGTGCATTTACTATCATTTGTGTGCATGTGCAGTCAGTGAATATTCAACAGCAATAAAAACGAGTTCAGATTTACATTTGCTAGGCCGTTTCCATCATTGGTGTTCATAATTGTGTGATCGTACAGTCATATATGCATCTTACACCTGCCAGAAAGATGATGGCTTAAAAATCTGCATCACTGAATTTACTTTAAGATGGCTTTATGCATCTTTAAGATGCCATTTAAAGCATCTACTGTTCTGGTGCAGTTCAGGTGTTAGTTAACGTTCTGGTAGGAAAGTGACTTTTTAAAAAAGGTATTTTCAAGTGAAACCTTGGAAGCTGCATTTGGATGTGACCCCTTTCTTTGTTCTACACCGATAGTAAAAGAATGCGAGAGACTGATATCCCAGGAGAGGGAACGTGTCCAGAGCTAAGTTAATGGAGGAACCTTGAAGCAGTGAAACGGCTACTTAAAATAACAGATTATTTTTCTTTCAAATATTTCTACTGTAAAGAAAAGGGTTGGAAAATAAATAAAATACATACAGCAACTATTTTAAAGCTCGTGCACTGTCCTGGATACAAAAAAGCTGATTTGGAATAAGTTACCTGAGCCACTTAAAATTGGAATAGAAGTATTTAGTCCAAAACACTTTGAAAGCTCTGAGAGAAACCCAAGGAAAGGCCATGGTCGTTGATAGAAATAATGACCACAGTGGTCACCAGGCTGCTGCTGTTGTTCCTAAGGCTGTTCAAAGTCCTCGCACTGATAGCCAGAAATACAACTGCATATTGCACACACCCCTCGTGGAGCCAAAGGGCACCTTTTATATGCGAGAAAGTATGGGCTTCTGGTTGGGTTTAATGCTTGTGTTACAGCTTCAACAAAACTGAAGCATTGCATTTCTGGTTGTCTGCTTTCATATCTCAGCTTATAATTCTTAAGGTTGGCAAAATCAAAACACAGTCTAGCTTTGTATCACTGTGTTTCTTTTGTAATTCCATATCCTTTTACACTGTAAAACATTAAATTCTGCAAGTAATTAAAGTGATACAGAATTAAATAAGATACAGATGTCTGTATAGTCCCCGATGATCCTAGCTAATGTGGAAAGTCAAGTCAAACTTAATCAGCATTTGCTACCTTTATGTGGGGATTACTGAGTAGTGTTGCACTGAAGAAAAAAACCTCTTGACAGCCAAATAAGTATAACATGCAGTGGAATTGTGAGTTTGAGGATAGCATTGGGTATTAAAGATGCTAGCAGAGTTGTCATTAATGAGAAGTTAACCTGTGTTTTAAGATTTCAGTATACAGTTGGACTTAATCAAAATGATTGAGGAGAAGCAGTTCTTTAAGTGTTACGAAACATTAAAGTAAAAAACGGAGGAACTTGTGGTCAAGTTCTAAGTAGTGGGTTTTGTTAAACATGCTGCCATTTACCATTTGTTACAGCGGTAACAAGCTGTTGCCATTTGCCAATGCTCTTGATCTGTAATCCATTTTGCTAATGCTGTTCTTACCGTTTCAGGAGTTTTATGAACATACAAAAACGCTTTGGCAAGACGAAGGGGTGAAAGCCTGCTATGAGAGATCTAATGAATATCAGCTGATTGACTGTGCACAGTAGTAAGTATTGCTTCTGTTCTGCTGTATACTGAATGTGATATACAGAGTGTTATTTTTTTACTGGAATGTTAATGGCAGTGGTTTAGATGGGCCTGATGCTTACTTTTCCTTACCTTGGAAAAGGAGTGCTTGCTACATAGTGAACTCCTGTTGATCAGCAATTCAGAGAGGTAGACAAAGCTGGAGTTCAGTTAAACAGAATTAGCTGTAATGAACACCTAGCAGATGTGATCAAATGGTCTCAATACAGACTGACACATGAACGCAGTGGACAGTTGTATTGTCTCAAAGACCAAATTTTCTGCCGCTTCCACTTTGACCGGTTTCCTTCCAAATGACAACTTCAGACACTGCAGCAAGCGTCAGGAAGTTGGGAAGTCTGTTGGTGTGTGCCCATGGTTGTAGCTTTTGGTTTTAGTGCAGTTTAGTTAGCTGAAAACAGAGACATGGCAGGAGCCTGTGGTCAGTCACCAAGACTTCTGCTTGTGTGCCTTCATGCACATATCAGAGAATGATTCATTCCCTTCTGCTATTTATACAACTGTGCTAATCAGTATTGTCATGAGGGACTGCTGCATGGCTGCAGTTATTTAGCACATACAGCAATACAGTGTGGTTCAGCATTTTTTCATGGCAAGATGTTTGTGATAATTGTGACCATTCGTGCTGTTTTTGTTGTGCACGCTCAATAATTGCAGGACTTCAGTTTGGAATATGAATGGTTAAAACTGTCCTTTGTTAGTTTATACTCTTTGCTTCTTTCGGAGAAGCTGAAAGAAGGTTTAATGGTCCAGGAAACGCAGGTTTCTCATTCACATGGTGATGGACAGCTGCAGTTTGTCTACTACTGCATCTCCTAAAGAGCATTTGATGAAATAAAATTTGCGAGGTGTTTTTTTCGTTTGTTTACATCGTCTGAAAGGTAAATCAACAATTAGCTTTGTTTGAAAAGAGACCAAGGAGGTTTTACTATGACTTGCACAGCTCCAGGTCGTTAGGAGCCTCTTTGAAGTTTTGCCATTGTTTCTGGTGTGAATTTGTTTGATGTGTAGCGATGTCTTTTGCAGTAGGTGACTAATGTTTCATCATCTGGCATGGATCTTTTTGCAAGTTCAGTTGCAACAAAGTAAAAATACTACAAGATTTTAATTTTCTGTCAGCTATCCAGTAACTTTTTTGTCTTTTTAGTGTAAAGCTGATAGAAATGGGGAAAATCTAATTTTGTTTCTGATAGCGTTTGGTTATCTGTTTGTTTCTGGTTAGTGTCTGTTACAGTTAACTTCTATGGCAGGAAGAGGTCAATACTGTTAAGCACCAAGGTGGGTTTGTGTTACCCTCTCTTGGAAGAGGAGCAAATTTTGTTCTGCCCCGAATGCACAGAAGAAAGCTACAATTCTCATCTTCCCTGACTGCTGGACATGGACGTTTTCATGGGTCAGCAGGGGGATGGCCTTCGTGAGGGTTTTACCATCCTGCTCCATCTAGTGGAACACTTAATTCTACATCATGGGCTCTTGAGCCAAAAATAAACCTTGCATGTTGCTGACAACTCACAGATACCTTTGCTGTCTCCTTCCAAAAGTATTTCATAGTTCTAATACTTATTCATTCTGATAGTTAAGTATATGACATTATTTTCTTGCAGCAAGAGCTCTCTAATTGTTAGTTTTGGTAGTTCTCATTTTTTCTGGCATTTTTGATCATGCAGCGGCTTTGCATTTAAATAACAGAATACTCAAAGTAAGAGTGTTTTAATGGCAAAACATTTACTTGGAGGTTAACACCACTTGGAAATTCTGAAATTGTTTTTATCATAGTAAATTTTCGAGGGACCTGGCAGAAATGACTTCATGTAAAATCTGACATGACTGATACCTTGAAATTAACCTGGTGAGCACCCTCTGAAAAATAGGTGGCAAACCCAAAATCTAAAATGTAGCTGAGATTTACCAAGTAAAGACAGTTTTAATTTGAATGTGCAAGCTGCTGTCATGAGGGCTAACAGAAGTTAAAAGAGAAAGTTGAGCAAACTGTGTTGGAGTTGTCAGTTTTTTCAGGGAAGAGTCTTGGGCTCTCAGCGCTTTCCCCTTTTGAAGTCCTTGTTTAAAACGACAAAGGCTACTTAAAATGGAAGGCAGAAAAGTGGCTTTTCTCTTTCAAGATCAGTCCAGCTTCCCAAAATCCCTTCTTGCTGCCGAAAGTTGAATAAATGCTTATATATTAATGGATTCTTTGTTCAGTGGATGACTTTAAAATTCTAAACCATGTTTCTTGTTCACAAAAATGAGCTTTTATAGCTGTTTGTAAAAATTTTTAATTTTTTTAAGAACTGTCATTTTTTTGAAGCGTGAATTGCTTACTGAAAAGTTTAGCATGCTATGGGCTCACTTAGCAATCTGCATTTTATAAGATAGAAGGGTTTTTTTACTCTTGGAAGTGATACAGTTACTTGTAGGAAGCTTTGCAAGGGGATCCTGCCGAATGTTTAAAAATCCCTTTTTGGGGATTTTAGGGATTTTTTTGTCTTTTAGCAGGGAGCAGTAAGTAGTGTATATCTCACAGGGCTCTGTTTGGTTTTCAGAAATGTGAATGCCAAAATTCCTTTCCGTTTCTGCCACACCTGTGTGAAATGCATGCAGAGCTTCTCCAGGGGTCTTGAAGAGCTCGGGGGCTGCTCTGTGCGGCCTGTCCGCAGGGAGCAGGCACGGTGCCAGGCTGTGCTCTGCTCCTGTGGCCCCTGGGCCAGGCAGCACCCAGCACCCTGCCTGCTCTCTTCTGGGTACTGCCACAAGTCTTCTCCTTCCTCCTATTTCCATCTTCTGTTAAGGGTGTGACAGGGGCAGTGAGGAGAAGGCCACGTGGGCTTACCTGGTTCCCTTCTGTTTGACATTGCTGCTTTTACAGTTCTGCTTTTCCCGAATAAAAACTGGTTCCCCGTGTGGGTAGCTTAGCTGCAGTCCACCAGAAGGCCTTGTCAGAGTTGAGGACTGCATGTCAGAGCTGCTGGGTGCTGGAGCATCTTGAAAAATCTGGGGAGATGGAGGCTTAAAATCGTACAGAGTTTGTGCTGAGGGAAGGAAGTAGCTGGTGAGTCAGGAATTCTCCTGGATGGACAAGGGAGAGGGAAAAGCCACTTTTTGCTGCTTGTCCTTTCCCAGGAAAGTGGACACAAATATAATTCTCAACCTAATGTGTTGTATTTACCTAAATCGAATGTAAGCGTTCAGAGTCTGGAAGTGGTATTTTTCACCTGCTTCTGAGCAGTACCTTTAAATACCACATTACTTCCTGCT